GCTCTAAAGTTACCATCCCTGAGTCGGGCGCTCGGTGCTGTTTGGGGCCTTTGTTCAGAGTCAATCAGCCGTCGAAAATCAGCCCTCCCGCTCGCTGCCTGTGCAGGGCGGGATGACCAGGAGGGTTTCCCGCAGCCTGGTTTGGGCGCTAATTACCTGTTCAACCCCCTTGTAAGTACCTGTCAGAGGGGAGAGAACTCGGCTCCTGGCTGCGAGGGAATTAGGGGGCTGGGGCAGCTGGATCTCACTGGGGTCTCCCCATGCTCCCTGTGCTCCCCGTGCCTAAGACACCACCACAAATAAAATGTTTACATTGAGACCAGGACTCATTTCTTCCCCACAAGGACATAAATTCTTCCTTTGTCCTCCCTCCCTCTGCTGACAGTGATTTCATGCACACAGCAGCTAATATCCAAAAGGTGCTTTACAGACTCTAAAGCTGAAGGTGGGGGAACTGCCATCATATAATACCAGTCCATATTAGTACCCTTGCAAAGCATAGAAGTCTACAGGATGTTTTTACTGAGGACTAACATTCACTACAGTGCTTAAAATCCAGAAGTCTTAAGCTCCACCTGCCTGAATAGGATGGGGAAGATGAGTGGGACTCCTTGGACCTGCAGAGTCGCTAAAATGTCAAATAAATGTGATGTTCCGGAGGCCTTTGTTTCTCATTTCCTAAAAAAAACTCAACCAACCAACTAACCAAAACAAAACAAAACAAAACAAACCACAAAAAATCACCAGAACCAACCAACTAAACAAACAAACAAACAAACAAAAACCACCAAAAAAACCAAAACATAGAGATCCATTGAAAAAGATTAATGAAAAAAGTTTTCTGATAATCAATGGAAGATTTTACTGTCGCAGTGGGGAACGCCATGTGGGACCGAGTGCCTGTGGCCTGTCAGCAGCGAACACACAGGGTGGCTTGGCTGGGCTGTACTCCTCACCCCGACATCAAAATGAGCCGCCCACGGGCTGTTTCCTGGGAAATAGGTTTATTTTTCCATCAAAACAGCGCCCAGGGCGGCGGGCGCGGATGGTGGGAGGCTCAGCCGCAGCCCCCCTGCCCAGGAGCGCAGGTGGGTTCGGTCTGTATGTGGCACTGTGGTACCAGTGACTGCTGCTGGGAGGCAAGGAGGGGGAAAGGAAGAAAAAATGAGGGGAGGGGGCGGGGAAGGAAAAAAAAGCTTAAAATTTTGCGAGAGCAAACAATCCTCCCGCGGACAGCGGTAAATAAAATAACAGCGGTGCGGTGATTTGCAAGCATGTAACGGGGCTTTTGTCTGGGCCCATTTCTCGCCGCCGGGAGGGTTTCTGTGTTCCCTCTCCGCAGGGTCCCGATGTTCCCCCTCCGGCTACAAAGGCCGGTGGCTGCAGCCCCTCCCCGCCGCTCCCCCCGCTCAGACCACGCTGCCCCCCCAGCAGCCTGGGGGGCTCCGGGGGTCGGGTGCTCTGCAATTTCGGGTTCTGTAGTGCCGGTGTAGGAATTGCCAGGCTTAAAAATAGCTTTTACTCATCTTTTTTTTTAACTCTTTTTTTTTTTTCTCCCGAGTTTACGTTAAGCCTGTTGGGTATTTTGTTCCCTCTAGGAAAGTTAAAGGTATTTATAAGTCTAATTAGAGGCATTTATAAGAGTGATTAGTGCGAAGCATCAGCTGCTGGCAGGATTCTCTGTGTGTGTGTGTGTGTCTGTGTGTTCACACATGGATGCAACACTACAGTTCACAATTTGTTCCTGTGCCTGAAAACTGTGAAATGCCCTTAATTCCCCCGGCAGTGATGGCAGCAGTGGGCATGGCTGGCTCCATCCACGGACTCAGCACCGCACAGTATCAGAGCTCTGGGGAGGGATTGTGGTTCCATATCTTCATGCAGTGATGTGGGAGCAATTGGATAAGCAAAATAAATAAATAAATAAATAAATTTAAATTTTTTGAAAATTAAAAAAATTAAAAAAAAAAAAAAAGGAAGAAAAAGGATGTATGTGCTGAAAGTTGCTGTTAGACTTGTAGGGACAGACACCAACATGGCCCCACTCCTGCCTGCCCATGGGCTGCCTTGCAATCTCTCATCTCACAGGTGCAACATCTTCTTTCCCTCTTTTCCTTTGCTGCTGGGCATTAACTCTGCATCCTCACCCTCCATGGGTCTCTTGGAGGAGAGTCTCCCACAGAATCTGCTTTGGGGAACAGAACCAACTGAAAGTGAACTCAAACCCCAGTGTGAGTTGTGGAGCGGGATGAGTGGCTGCCGCAGAGCAAGGGAAGATGAGACCAGCCGTGCTGCAGCCACTCCACTGAACACCCCCAGTGCTCAGCTCTGGTCCCTGAGCTGTGTCCCTACCAGGAGGCAGCTCCCACCCTGCACACACAACTTCTTCTCTGGGTCCCATTCACCTGGCATGGCGCAGTGTGGAGAAAGCTGGTGGCAGGGAGGGCGGCTGGTGCAGCAAAAACTCATCCAGCCACCATTCCAAAATACTCAGCCTGTGAACCTTGAAGCTGCCAGCCTGTGAGCCACTGCTGGGCAGGACCCGCCATCAGCATGGGGCAGCTTTACAGGTTACTCTGGATCCAGTGAGCACTTCCCAAGCACCTCAAGCTCAGTGAGAGCAGCACTCAAAGAACCACAGCTCAACCACCAGCCTTGGTGCTGGGGCTCCAGTGCTGGCACAAATAAAACTGCATCTGACGAGATTTTGAGCCACGTGTAAGTGCTCACAGGTGCAGAACCTCAGCACTGTCCACCTCTTAGGACTCCTGGGACAAGTGCTTGTGTCTTTGTGTCTCGCTTAAACGAGGGACAGCCCCACAGGGAGGGTTGCCTGCCTGCAGAGACACCTCGAGCTAGAGTTGCTTAAAACGTCTTGAGGCAACTCCTACGAGTTCAGACCCTCCTCGACCAGGGATTTCTTTTTTCTAGTCATCATATAAACAGAATTAAAAGGTCAGTGCTGCCCCCACACGCTTACAAAAGCTTTCGGTCTGAATGGCTTGAGAAAGATAGGGAGATATGTAGGGAACACTTTAAAAATGTACTTGTTTTGCATAGCTGTAGCCTGTTTCCCTGTGTCAAAACAAACAAACAAATAAAAAAACCTTCCTTGATTTCTGCTTTTAAAAACTTAAAAGAAAAATATGCTCAGTTCTATGCACATCAATTTCAGAACTGTGTTTAAAGCAGTTTCCGCAAAAACAGTTACAGTACAGTTACACTGGGGATACTTTATAGGAATGGTTTGAGCTTGACTTTCTAATTTTTTTTTTTAGGGAGATGCTAATAACCTGATGGTCCCCAAAATCACCTACAAAACAATCTTCTTTCCACTTAGCCTCCTGTGTCAAGTCCATGTAGCCAGTATAATCCACACAGTGATTTTTCTAAGGGCAGACTTTTCCTCGTTTTTTCATTTTTCCTCTGTCCATGCTTGTGCAGCCACAGAAAGTCCCACACAAACTGAAGGTGAAACACAAAGCAGAGGAGTTACAATGAACTCACTTTACTCCAAGTAGTAACAAGTGACCATGTGAAGCGATGTACAAAATCAAGCTATTTTTCTCTCTCTACTCTTTTCAGCAACAGGGAGGTTAAGGTATCCCTCCTGGTAGGGGGTGAGACTCAAATGTCACGCTGAAGAAAGACGTTGTGTATGTCCCTTTAAAAACTTTGAATAGAAGCTACTTTAAATTTGAATCTAAAAAGATAAAGTGAGCTGAGTTCGATCTGGAACGGGATAAAATGTTTCATGCTATGCCTCTCTCAGGAAAAAAAAAACACAGCCTTTTTTTTTTTTAACTCTAATGTTTTTTAAAATTTTCGGTGGGAAAATATTGAAACACTGCTTTATTTTGTGACCACGGACTGTTCGTTTTGCTTCAGAATTACAACAGTAAGAGCCAGACCCTGTAAACGGGGTGGAGATTCAGCTTGGAAATCCCCTAGAATTCTGGCTCAGCTTGTCCTTGGGCACAAAAAACAGGCACCACAGCTGATAAATTTGTTTCAAAAAAGTGATGTTTGGCTAAGAACACCCAGGTGTGTGGGTAGGAAGGTTCAGGCAGGACATGGGCTGGTGCAGACCACCAGTGCCCACCCAGTCTCAGTGGCACTGAGGGTTTTCACCAGCTGAGGCTGCCCAAACAGCCTCAGAGGGTGTTCTGGGAGCCCCAGGAAGGTCATTGCTGCTCTGACCCTGCACCGAGCCAGGTCTGTGGGCTGAGCTGGCAGAAAGCCATTCCCTTGTTCTGTTGGACAGAGAGAGGGATTGGGAAGGTGCTGGGAGGGCTGAGGGGACAGAGGGGTGCAGGCAGTAGAAGACTGCAGATAGTCCCCATTACTGGACTCATGTGAAAGCTCAGCCTGGGCAGAAGGAAGAAGCAAAGCTGTTCCTTGGTCTCTAACACTGACCACATCAATGGCTGGGCTCAGTTTTTGTCGATGTACCCCTTGGAGGGTCTCAGTGTACAAAGTACCAGACAGGTATCTTTGCACGGGAAAAACTAAGCCTCATCTTTCAGAGGGCTATGTTTATTTGTTTATTTTCCCATGCAAGAAATTCAGCTTAAAAATGAAGCCTGCAAAACTTTTTTTTCTCCAGTTCTCTGTAGATATTTTTTGCAGTCCCCAAAGGAAAATTTGCCACAATAAATTTCATTCAATCTTCATTTTAGTCTTTGTTAGAATCTCATTTGAATATATCTACTAAATAAACCTTTCTTCTTGCCCAGACTTCTTTCAGCTTTAGCTGTCCTGCATATGAAATCTACCAACTGTAATTCAGGTACTTCAGGGCTTCAGCAGAAAAACAAAAATAAATCCAAGGCACTGAATTTAGAGAGTACTGAGACCAGCAATGGGGCTAAAGAACAGATTGACTTGGATACAGGAACAACAAAACTTTTGATCCTGCTTTCCTAATTAGCCTGGTTACATGAGTTCAGGTACCAAAATCATAACTGAAAATATATAAGTGTCATAAAACCACACAAAAATTGCTACAAAAGTATTTTAATGTTGTCTGATTAGAAATTCCATTTTTAGAAAATAACAAATACAAATGGCATCACTTTGTAAACATCTTCCCTCAAATCCTTTGAAATATAAATGCAGATTTTAAATACAGTTACACACACACACAAAAAAAAAAGGTAGAAAAAGAAGAAGTTGTTATGATGCATTTGAGAAATGTCCTGAAATTAATTTATAAAGGACATGACTTTATGTCAAAATACATCTGGAAGAACAGCACTTTTTGTTTGTTTAACAGTCCTCAAAATTTTCTAACAGGAAAGCTGGATGGACACTTTCTGTACCATCCCTCATTATTTTCAATTATTAGTTTGTTTGCCATTAGGTAATAGAGGTGAAACTACTTTGACTTTGTTATAAATAGCCAGTGGGAGTTCTGAGAAAGGTGTATTAAATACCAGAAGGAAAATGAGCAAGAAGATGTAAAATGGAGCCTGATCCTGCTAACCCCTACTCTTCCAAGCAATCCTCTTTCTTTTCTACTTACTGCGCAGTGTAAGAACTTCAGGATTAAGTCAGATCTTAGAACCATAATTCCATTTATTTGGAGAGGCAAACATGCCTTTTGCTCAACATAAATGTTTTCATTTAAAAGGAGGTTGTCAAGTCTGAAAGCGTATTAAATTCACGTTGAGAAGAAACTTTGTGCACAGTTTCTCACGGGCTGAGGGGACTGTGCAGAACCAAAGGGATGGGATGGATCTCAGCAATTCCAGCACCCAGAGCTGCCCTCCCCAGGACGAGCAAACCCCCCCCGTTCTCACACGCCTGGATGCACATGACAGCCACGGAATCAGCTTTGCCAGAGACCCCTAGGGTGTCCAACACCTGCAGGAACTCCACAACCAGTGATGTGTCCCACTGCCATCCAGCACCCCCAAGAACCTGCCTGGCCCCCACGCAGCCCCTTTGCCACCGAAGTCGCTCCTGCTCCCAGCCAGCAGCAGGGAAAAGCTCCTGGAATTCCGGTATTGCGTCCCCATCACGAGGCTGGTGGGGTGCTGACAGCGCAGCAGCACGTTACGCTTGCTTGGGATGGGAAAGAGCAGTTCAGGAAAAAAGCAGCAGACACCACACAGAAACAGTGCCATGCACTGAAAGTTTACGTTAAGTCATCCATCACTGACACCTCTGCTTGAAAACAAGCGTGCCAGCAGTAGTACAAGCACACACACGTGTGCACACCGATGCTCACAAGCCGCTGTTTCATTTTATCCAGGGTTTTTTTCCTCTTGAATTATCTCCTAGAGACAGGAAAGACAGAACAGAACTGTGATTTACTGGTCACAACATTCTTCAACAATACTACAGAAGTTACCAACAAAAAAACCCCAAACCATCATGGCAACCTGTAACGCCTGTCTTACATGTATTAGCAAACAGCTAATTCTGAATTTTTGCTTGCAAGCCTCAGGTCTGAATTTTGTTAACCTTTTTGAAACCTGCATCAGAAGCTTAATCAGAAACAGTCAAAGCATCCTTTTAGAGCTTTCTCAATTAAATAGCATCATATGTAGTCCCTGTAAAGGACTAAAAATGTTCTGCTGTGATTAGGTTTTTCGTTTTTACATTTCATCCTGGTCAGGAGTGCTGCAAAATGGCTCAGCAGTTGCCATCCTTATAATAGTTTGGATTCAGCTAATGGGTGAATATCACTAACTCATACATTCTTTTCCAAAGAAAACTGGGCTGAGCCATTAAATAACAAAAAAATAAATATTTTTTCCCCAAAAGTAGTTAGACTTCTCTTAAAAGAGCACTAAAGCATATTTTTTCTGAGTTCAATATGAAACCATTCCTTCTCCCCAATTTCAGTTGGTTAGGTATGAAAATCTCAGGACTTACTCAAGGGTTTTCAGTGTCACAAGTGTAAGAAGAGAGTCGTATTACTCATGTTTACCTCTGTCAAACAGCAGTTGGAATACAGCCCCCCTGGGCAGAACACTGTGAACACATTAAAGCAGTAAGTGATTCCTGGGAAATTCATAAAATGTCCTTTTCTAATGACTCAAGGTATTTCTGTGGAGGCAGATTATTTACTATTTTTAGCTTTTCCCAGTGTCTAGCTTGTCTAATTGCTCCTTGTGCGAGTGCTCTGGCCCCGGGGCTATTTTTCAGCTCTAATTGCAAAGGAAAGGATTACATGGCTTTGCTTGTGCTGGAGATGGGGCTCAAACCCTCAGAAAAACCTCCCTCTGCTGATTTCATACCGACCCAGCACATTCACTCACTTTGCTGGTCTCATCTATAACTTCAAGCCTGCTGACAACATGACCACAGGAAGGTGGGTACCCGTTATGTGCTGCCAGCACATGGGAGCAGGTCAGTCTGACCAGTGCTGGAGTTTTCCAGCTGGTGGTTCTCTCATCTACTTTCACAGTACAGCAATTACCAGAGGTGTTACCTTTGCAATTTTCTTTGAAAGGTCATGGAGAGATTCCTATAAAATGTTCCTTGCCGCAATTCCAGCTGAAAAGCCTGGAAACAGAATAGTGAGATCGGGATCCATGCTGGAAATGGGCACTGAGCAGACAATTTTTATTATAGAGCTATCTACTTGCCTGCCTACCTACCTAAGTTTGGAGAAGGAAAATCAAAGTGCCAAATTACTTTGACTTTGTCAAAAATGCCAAAATGCCTAAATCAGAACTACTGCAACTGTATCAGCTGAAGTTTCAGAAAATGAGAAAACCATTTTGTGCCCAGATTTAGTTAACACTATTTTGTGGATGCATGCGAGGGCTCTTCAGGATGTTTTCTTCTTGCTCCTCTGGGTAATTTTACCAAGCAGCAGCCTGGCAGAAGCACCTCTCACTTCACAGCTTAAAACCTGGGCAACTCACAGCACAGCTCCTCCCAGAGAAGAAGAGATGGATTTCCTCCAGGAAGGCAGAAGACCTCAAATCTGCAATTTTGCCTTGTCTACATGAACAGTGCTTGCAGTTTGGCCCAAGCCTGAATCTGCCATTAAATTAGCCCTTGTCTATACAAATGTTAGGAGACAGTCCAAGCACCGTCACAGCCTGGTACATCACTGTGAAAAAGCAGTCACTGTCATGTCCTGCAAGGGTACAACAGTCCTTCAGAGCAGCTTCTATCTGAAAATAATTTCATTCCTGTGATATTAAAATATTAATATTTATATATATAATTAAAAATATTAAAATAATTTCCTGTGATAATACAAACATTAGCACAAAGGCCTGGTCTATAAAAGCAGTTGTGCAACAGGCAGTATTTTCAAATCCTGGTCTGAAATGTTCCACAGGCAATTGGAGGGTCCAAGGCTGAGATCCAAAAGTACCGATGTATCCAGAGCTATGCAAATATTAGGAACTACTGATGTCTCAACACATGTAACATCTTATGTTATATTTAGCAGATTCTATTTAAATTCAAATGCCTATAAACTATAAATATTTACAAGAACTTGTGAAAAACACAATACAGATTAAGCCAAATAATTTTTCAGCTGTTACTGATTTGAGTTTAGTCCGAGTTTTTACCTCTTGAGAGATAGAGGTTCCTAAACATTCCAGTGGGCTCTAAATCAGCAAGAACATCTCAGACACTGTCCTCCTGAACGCCCAGATACCCATGGGTTTGCTCCATGTCTCCTGCTTGCTCTGCAGCCCATGTGATGCTTTGTTTACTCACTGCACAAGCAGATACGTGCAACAGCCATTCCCCGGGACAATGACTTGTCTCTCAGTCCACGGTTTTCTTACACTGGAGTCTGCAAACACTGGGCAGCTGATGTGTTCCCCTCCTCCCTGCTCAGCTACCCTCTGTGTTTTGGGTTCAGAGTGAAACTATCCCAGACTCAGGGACCTCGAGAGAGCAGGACTTGGGAAACACGAGGAGAGACACTGAGGGCACGAGCGTATTATCAGAAAGAATTTGAGTGCTCCCAGAGCCCAGCAGCAAATTAGAAAGTTTTGGCTCCCAAGAATGAGTTGTGTTGTTTGTTCCTGCATACTGCAGCTGCTCGTCCCTCTCCCTCCCCACCCCCCTCCTTTGGGTGGTTTATTACACACAAGCCACTAATGAATGGGAGCCGCTGTTTTACAGTACACCACACTTACAGGACTTATCTCTAGGCCTACCACAGATTTGACTGATCAACAGCAGGGCACCACCATCATAATTCTTCCTAGAAACAGGAGGATAAAAAGGGGTTTGTTGGAGGTTGGCTGTGTCTGCAGAGAATCCTGCCTGCAGGGCCTGCTGATGCCATCGCTAGCTGCTATGGTCTTTGGCCTAATAAGGTACAGAAACAAAGATTGTTCACTTGTTCAAGAATACTAAAGTACCCAAGTGACGGAAAGTGGAGGCAGCAGGGCACACATCCAAGTGGGATTAAGGCCACAAGTGCAACGTTACAGGGCTGACTGGGTGGCAGAGGGAATATCTGCCTCTGAAAAAAAAATCCAGTTCAAACATAATTTATAACATGTCACTCACAGTCAGAGGTGGCTGTCATTAAGAGTTAAATGTTGCATTGTGTTCAACTTATTCCGATAAGAATTCTCTAAGCTGCTTATATGTTATCATAACTCAGGAATAACTGGAGGGTGGGCTTGGGGAGGGAGGGAGGCTCTCTGGGGCAGGATGGGACCCAGGCTGGGAGGCAGAAATGCTGGAGCAGAGCTGGACTGCTGGGACCTCAGTGTGGTGTACCCACAGGCTGCACACTCCAAGGACTCTCAGTGAGTCTTAAAGCCTGCCAAGCCCATAATACTTGTCAAAGTCCAGACTCTACTTGGACATATGCACCTTTTTTTAGTTTTATGCACTTCTCCCATACAGGGAACAAGGCAGTAACACCTAGAGGATCTAAAATGGTGTATTCAGCCTCTGTTCAGCTGGTCTATACAGTAAGGCTGTCTGTGGAGGATGAATTCCCTGTAGTTGGAAGGCTCAAGCTGTGGCGTTGAAGGAGAAAAAATGGCCAGTATCGTAGCCGAGTAAAAAGCCCTAACTTAATACTGCTCACTGAAATGGGACTAGGAGTCCAATAGAAGAGCAGTGAAGCAGCTTCTTTAGGGAAAATATTAAATACTGCTGACTGGCTTGGCAGTTTGGAAGCAGTAGGATTGTTTTCTCTGGCTTACAGAAACCCAGCAACAGACCCCACTGAAGTTCAAGGAGCTAGATTGGGCCCAATCCTACTAAACTCTACAGGCTCACTAGGAAAATTTTTCCCTACATTTTTTTCCCTTCCTCATTTTAGGTATAGAGAGAAAAATCTGTGTGGAATAAGAAGAATTAGAGTCATAGGAGCTTGTCCATTCTCACAGGTCTCTCCATAGCAGCAGATAGCTATTACACACTGTAATTCCCAGTTAAAAGTGTTTCTCTAGTGCAACTCATTCAGAAAGCAGCAGTTTGTTTACTCACTGGCTTGGGCTACCTGGATCACATTACACCTGCTGGGGCTTCTGGTAATGTGGGAGGTTGATTTTAAACTGGCACTGTTGCTTTTATAAAGCCTTTAATGTCATAGGCTCTGGCTGTGTTCAAGATCTCACCCACCAAGCCAAGGCTTAAGGGAGTTTGGGCTGAGACATCCCAGTCCCCCATTCCTCTGTCACTCAACTCAAAGATCACAACTTTTCTGCTGTAGGTGTGGGACAAATATTTCAGCACCTGCTCTCCACGCCACAACAGCCATCCCTCAACTTTTCACAGTCACTGATATAACCTTCTCTTGGCTTTTCCAACCACATTTCTTAGTTACACACACCAGGGCCTTGTGGTGTATCTGGTCCCAAGTGCTCTGCCAGGTGCCAGAGGATGAGCTACAAATGTGAGGGTACAGTGAGTCTGGAAGGAAATATTACTCACTAATAGCCCCAGGAGGGCAGTGAGCAGTCTTTGCACAGCTTTGCCCTGGATGGGAACAAGATAGAGGGCACTGGAGTACCGGTGATGGAAGGGCTGCAACAGTTTCCATGCCCCCAAACCCTGGATTGCCAGCCTGCTCTTGGTGCCTCCCAATAGCTTTCAAATTTACTCCAGTCAAGGGAGAAGGAACTGAATGTCTTCCCTGCTTCCCTGAAGCATCATTTTGGTATGTCATTTGTATCTGGTCTAAAGACCAAGGTCTTCAATTTGTCCACATTATAGAAACACCGTATCAAGCACCCAGTTTTCTGAGTACCAAGCTGAAATGCGAATATCTTACCTGCTACCACAGTGCTGTCTTCACACGTGCTTGAAAGCCAACAGGTTAATCACAGCAAGCTCTTGGTTGTCCAGAGACGGCTGCTTCGTGTATACCCATGGGATGCTGCAGGACATCAGGGCAGGGATGTGGAGGCTACAGGGGCTGCACGGTGTGTGTGCAGACACCACGTGGTGCCAGAGTGCATTTCAGTTTGTGGTCTCTGCAGCTCTAAGGAGCTGATAACTTCAAACCTCTGTCCTTGCAGAGAGCAGACACTTCACTGTAGCCACCTCTCTCCGTGGTGAAACAGCAGATGGATGAGACGGGAGCTGCATCCACCCACTCCTCCCACCCAGCCACAGCAGCATCTGGAGCACACCTACATGTGGGAGGTGGACACACAGAATTGTGTCTGAGGGTGGATGTGTTTGGCCCTTGTGCAACCTTAAAGGTGTGCATGTTCACATACACTTGTCTGGATGCAAGGTATGGTAAACAGGCAAAAAAAAAAAAAAAAGTTAAAAATAGATGTAACTGGTGTGTGAAGACATGTTTTACCCGGCTCTGACTTCTGTTGGATCCGTGAGTAGAGGCAGGTAGTGGATTAACTATGCAGCTCAGAGACTGTAAAGGCTTGCAGAGGAACAATTAGGCTAGAATTTGCATTTCATGAAATTGAACCTTTTATAAAACTTACAACACAGCTAATGACAAAGATTTCTTCAAATAAGTATTTCCCTCTGATCTTTGTCACGTGGGGTTTGTAGCATCTTGCCTGTGTGTGAGAACCTAAAAATGTAAGAGGCAATTTTTCAGAAAAAAATGAAGCTCACTGGTTTATCTTTACCATCTGTGTGGAGTGTAAACAGAGAGAATAAATAAATAAATACTGAGAAATACATTTGTTTTAAATAAACGTGAACAAAGGGTTTGACACATTTGCAGTATGTAATACTGTTTTTAAAACATGTTTTTAATCACCTCACACATTCAATTAAATACAGAAAACTCTCCAGGTTGTGTTTGCATTCTGAAAGAGCAGCTACAAAATAAAGTGTAAGTGCAGCAAATCGTTCTGAAAATAAACTGATTTGAACAAAGAATGAGTTCTTCCTCAAAGGCTGCAGTACCACTGACTTTGTATTATTACTTGAAAAAGCTACAAGTATCTTTTTTTTCCTCATAAAAAGACCCATTTTGGGAAGGACAGACTGACAGTTTGGTCTACGCTCTGAGAAACTATGAGAAAAATCTCTTCTCTCAGTACATTTTTAGTTAGGCCTCTTCTTTTCTCCAATATTAAGGGAAATTTCTAATGTAGTTAATAGTCTTTACTTAAAAAAAAAAAAAAGGCAGCAATAAATGATGGAACAAAACCGAATCCCTTTTCCAGGCAGTGACACTGCCACTTTAATAGTTTCCCACTGTACTTGGGGTTAGCTGCCAGAGAAGCCTTGTTCAGCCTATTTGGGGGCCCCATGAAATGCTGCAAGCGTTACTGAAATGAGCACTTGTCTTTTGTTGAGCTGCATGCTAGCACCATACAGTGCTGAGCTGATAAATCCACTTTTTCTAACACAAGCATTTTTCAAACAAAACTACCATGAGACTGATGAGTAATGCCAGCTTGCCAAAAAAAAAAAAAAAAAAGACACACACACACACCCCTCGCAGCCGCTGCTGACACTGACAGCTGCTAAATTCACATATTCACAAAATGAGATGGGTTACATAACTGGAAATTACAAGAGCAACTCACCAGCGAGAGGAACTGCTAAGCAAGGCAGCAGTGGGGCTCAGGAAGGAATAGATCACACATTTCAATGTGTGCTTGCCCACTAATGACCACGAGCTCTGCCTGGAGAACACAAAGGTTACCGGGCACTCCACACCGCGCATCATCAGGCTGTTTGTAGTTTGTTCAGGGCTGGGGTTTTCACTCTGCAAAGTGAGGATGCATGTGGGAAAAAAAAAAATAATATAGCGGTGCTGCTATGTATGTTACAAGCACACAAGGGTAGTTTAAAAGCCCAAATGTCACTTTATGCAAGGCGTGACACAAAAGCCTGACTTTAAAAGGCTTGTCGGCAAGTCTTCAGCAGCTAAAAGACAGCAGTGGAGAAGGTGAAGTGTTGGGTAGAGTTAGGTTTGACAAAACCTAGGTGGGTTTTAATTTGCATCAAATCTTTCAGGGTTATAAAAGCAGTTTGCAAAGTTCTTATTATTATTCTTATTTTACGCTGAGCTCTGGAGATGGTCTGTACTCTGCCAATGCAGGGCAGGAAGGCAGTGACAGAACGTCACCCCATCACCAGATCACCTGCCTTTATTTCAGTGTCTATTTCTAGATTGGCTTGAAAACCTTTGACAAAAGCATCTGATTCTAGAAGAGCCGTGGGGCAGATGATGGAGGAGAGGCATCATTAAGAGCTCCTGAGAAATGACAGGCTATGGAACTGGTGTAACAGTGCAGAAGAAGGAGCAGGGAGGGAAGATGGCAATGTCTGCAGAAGCTGCCAGACCCCCACGTGTTGCTGAGATTGCCAGAAATGGGGTTCTGAAGAGGGCTGATCTGGACATAAATCAAAGCAGAAAACAATGCATGTCTGTATGAATAGCAACAACAACAGAAAAAAAATCCTGTAATTAAACCACCACTAACCTCAAGCTAAAATTTTTACATCCAAAATAATCTATGTTTCCATTTTGTCCACTCATGGCTGAATTCATTCTCGTTAAGAGGTTTTGGGGTTTTTTTTTTTTATAAAAAGGATTCAACCTGGTAGAAAAACAGCATGTAAAAGCTTTTTTATAAGCAAGTTTATCAAACAAGAACTGAACATGAAATTACTAAGCAAATGCATGAAGTTTCATGTGCTTTATCATGTTACCTGTAGCAAACTAGGTTAATGTAAAATCAAGATGCACTGACAAATCAGGGGGAAAAAAGAAGAAACACAGAAATGAGTGTGTTGAGAGTGATGTCACCTAAGCTGGTGTGTAGGTACAGTCTGCTGCGTAGGAGAGCAGTGAAAGCATAAACAGAATACTAGACGTGCATTAAGCCACAAACAGAAATAGCTGTGAACAATGGCAAAGTCTTGGAACCTTGATGTAAGGAAACATCCTTATAAAAGATGAGACAATAGCGGGTCTATAAATGACGGTCCCGTGGGCAGGGAAGGATTAAGAACTTCCTATAGTTTCTAAAGTATCAACATATATTGTAACCCTCTCACAAACACTTCTGCAAGGGCTTCTTTGACTTAGTCCACCCAGAATAGGAAAAAGCATCAGAATTAGTTTGGCTTTTCCTTTGGATACCAGCCACATACACTCAAAGCAGAGAGGAAGAAGTAAAAGGAGAAGGAAGTGCAGCATTTGTTCAGGACCTTTTGCCAGCACACCTGTAAGTTCCAGCACTCCCTTGTTCTCCCTGCTTCCTCCAGAACACAGAGACCTTTGCCAGCCCTGATCTGGGCCATGGCAACATGCTGCTTTCTAGAGCAGTGCTACTCCATCTCTGCAGAGTGCTGGGAAACAAGGAGTTTAGACACCAGCAAACACAAACTAAGCTGAGGCTTCAGTGTCCATTTATTACTTTTATTTTCTTAGTTTTATTTTGAAGTGGATTTTTTTTGTTGTTGTTTTGTTTGCTTGCAGGGGTAATAAAATGCATTCATTTCACTGGGCATGCATTTAATCTGAAAACATTAACAAAATGCCTTCTAATGCCTCATGGCCCATGGGCTGAGATCTGTTCCTGTACAGCAAACATCCTCTGAGCTTTCAGGCTAGTACATTACTCTCTGATCACAGATTTTCTTGCAGACTGTCGCATATTCTTCTCATAAAAATTTTAATAGAAGACTGTGAACATTGCTATTTAATACAGTTCCACAGACCACCAGCAGCAAACTTGCCAAGGCCTCATGGATTACCAGTGATCCATGGGATAGGGGCTGGGAACCACCACAGACTTGGGTGATCCTGACTGCTTATCTCTAGCACTGCCTTAAGCCCATTCGTACACATCACTCTACTGAAACTAAACAAGCCTGCTCTTCAGGAATCAAATGAAGCTGAGTGAGCACTTCACTGCGCTGATGGGGAAGAGGAAGAACAATTGTCCCACTGCAGCCACTCCTAACATCCCTGGATGTGGATGAATAGCTGAACACTGTGAAGAGATACAAAACATGCAAGTCCAGGACCTGTTTCAAGTGACGTTTGCACATTTGCAGATGATAATAAATGCCATAGGATCTACAAAAAGTCAACATTGAAGAATTTGCAGCAAGTCCAAGCTCTTGAGGTCTCCTCTTTGTCCCCTCTGCCAACAGTTCCTCATTCCAAGCCAGATGCTTTAGGGCAAATTTGAGCTACTTTTGGTCCAAAAGTTCCAGTGGAATAGTTGTGTCATCTGTTTTAGAAGTGATCCTCTGCTTGTTAGGTAGAACTTGGTCGCTGAATGTTGACATTACAAAGGTGGTATAAGTATATTTAAAAAATAAATCTGTTAAAAATTCTGTAGACACTTTTTAAAATACTGAAGATTCACCTTCCAGCTATTCACAGTCCTATTTTTAAAAGTTTTTTTTCTTAAAAGCAAGAAAATGTGCTGTTCCTTACTGAGGGCTGTAGGCTCCATCATGCCACTCTCAGTCACACAAGGCACTCCCCTGAATCAACACGCTTCCTAATGGCAATAAATTGTTTTCAACAGAGTTCTGTTAAAAACCACTGACAACAACAAACTATGATTAGCATTCAGGGTAGAATTAAGTACTGTCACCATTGATATCTGCATGTGCAGGTGTCAGCCCTAAATTATTTTATGGCACAATTCAGCCCCTATTCTTATTCCTCCTGATCTTCAAACAACCCCACTGGGTCAGATTATGCCAACCCTATGAGAGGTAGGACCTTGGCCAACAAGTATCCATGGATTTTGGGAGATCTTCTGCAGACCAATGTGTTGACTGCAAGTAAAAACTAGATGCTCTTGCTGTTGTAACCTGTGGGACTTCTCAGCAGTACAATGATATTTAGCCTGTAGAGCAGATGCTCTTCCCGAACTGCATTTCATAGCCCCATCTGTGCAGCCCCTCCAACCTCAGGGGAACTGTTCAAAAGGGAAGCAACTGGAAGAGGGACATCAGAGCCAGGCCTTCTCTTGAGAGGCACAAGAAATGTTTGGGCAAGATTCTTGCTGGGATAAGTTTGCACAATTTTTCTGAGACTGGGAACAAATACTGAAACAATTTCCTCCCTTCAGAGCAGTTTTAAAGTCATTTAAAGTCTGAGGGCACTTTCCAACTTGCTCCTCAGTGTAGTTCCACTTACTCATGTGGTGACCAGCAACTACTCATGTGAGCAATGCATGAGGGTTTGTAGGAGTGGGAATAAAACACAAGAGCAAATCCACTTGCTCAGAAGGGCAAGCTTCTGGATTTAATAACAAAAACAGAGCTCTGTAACAGTCTCTTCCCCCCCACATAGTTTGTTGCTTAAAATCTTAGAGGAAAAAATATCACATTGTCTATAAATATGATCTTAGCATGTTAATTTTTTTTTCCTACAAAAATACATAACCAAATTTGTGGTTTGTCTATTTGTATTGCAAAGCAGTAAAGGAAAGCTCTGTGAAACTCTCACATTTTCATTCCACACTATATCCTGAATAATACTTAATTTCCTATTTTACAATAAAATTACATGGATTAAGGGACTTTTGAATCTAAAAAGAATGCACATATTAGGGAAATTACTACCTAAAATAAACAGCCCACTTTATTAAGCAGTCTCCTAGTTTTTGTGATATTAGGGAAAAAACCCCACACTTTACAGACACCTAGTTTAACACATGTCAGTCAGCTTCATTTGCAAGCTCAAAATCCAGAGGTAGATAAAATACTAGTTTGGTTTGGAATATGTAAAGTGTCGATTTTCCATATATTAATGCACTGAAGCACTTGATACTATGTTGTTAGGGAAGGTTAAAATAGTTTCCAGAAGGGTTTTCTTAAGGAATGGTTACTGCAAATAAAAACTTTCAGCTAACAAGGATTCTTAAAATAGTTTTTTAATATGCTTTTAATGACCTCTACTCCTCGTACCTACCTCCTTGCTTCCCAAACTGTTTGTACTGTCCCCAATAACACTCAGTGGAAAGCTGTCGTTCCTGGCTAAATCCTTACTTAGGTTGGATGCTATGCCTCCGTTAGACAGGGTCACAAGGTCACAATCGATTTTGGAGGCCACCTGGAGAGTCCAGGCCGTGAACTGACTCAAAAAATTTATATCAGAGCTGGAATGGTCCACCTCCCAGGGCTCAGCCTGCGCTAACACCCCAACCGCAGGATGGAGCCTGCCAGGCCCAGCTCAGAGAGAGGCCAGAGTTGTTGACCCCGTTAGCTGACCTCTTCAAACTTCAGGAGAATTTTTCTGGCAGTTACCACGGTGACTGGGCACTCCAAGCTTATCCTTCTTACTGAAAAAAAAAAAAAAAATTAAGAAGAAAAAAAAATGTTAAAACCTACCTCGTAGGGATGTCTATCAAGAATCAAATACGTAAATGTTTTAATTGTTTGCTTCTCTCCTTGGGCTGCTCTGGCTCTAACTGGTATATCTGAAGTGAGCATCAAGAAAGCAGTTTGGCTAAAAACATTTCAACTTCTGAAAAAATAATGCTCAGTGGATTTAACAAGTAGCATTTCTAGTATCTGCCAGTGATCGCAAATGACACACTAAGAGGTTTATTGTCAAATAATATTCATTTTTCTTTCTGTATCTTTCTCCAAATTATTGCCATTCCTTATTGAATTGAGAACAAACTGAGAAAAGGTTCAGCGAGAGGACTCTATGCTGCATTTGTCTTTTTTCCTGTTAAAAACTGTCTGCTTGATGAAACATTAGGCACGCAGCAATACATTGCTTTGGTCTCTTAAGAAGAAACAGCCTTTTTTAATGTACCTTATTTAATGTACCTTATTTAATGTACCATGAAATATTATTTAAGAGGAAAAAGAAAAAAAATCCCAAAAGTTGTCAGACATCATGACTATTGCTTTTTTCAGGCACCTTGAACACTAATCATTTCACACATAAAATTTAGCAGGTAAGCAAGGTCTCGTGGTGCTGAGAGAAGACACTTGAAACACATCAAGGGATCACAGAGCACACTAAGTAAACAAGAAAACAAAGTGCACTCTTCATTTCTAAAACAATAAGGGGAAAACTGGTGCTCCTTAATTTCAGAGCAATCATATATTATATACAAAGCTTTTATGGAAATTTTCCTCATGCTTCTATACTTGAAATAGCATCTTGCAAGAGGGAGCACTGAAGAGTACACTGCATTATAGCTGGAAAAATCCTACTTAAGGGCTCCTGATGGCAAACTGTCAATCAGTATTCCCCATTTGTTATGAACTGCTCATTTCTGGAGTACAGCTAAACAGAGGTTTAATGATTGAAACTTTAAAGGCATTTTGTCTCACACATGGTTCTGACGTATTTTCTGTTGTTTGAAGGGTTAAATATGAATATTCAAATTGTTGCTCAGCCACTGCTCTGCTCCTCCTGGGCTTTTCCACTGGCAGTGCTGAGATGGCAGTGGGGACCGAGTTGCTGAGTTGCCTCTCGCGGGAGGAGATCGTGCAGACCCTGTGGGTGAAAAAATAAAGCAGGAGATTTGGGTATGAAAAGCAAAAAAGCACATTACTGATCTTTTGTTCCAGATCTATTTTTCATTTCTGCTGGAAGGATGAGAAAAAGGCAGTCCAGCATATGTATGTTAACTAACATTAAAAAAGTGAACACAGACACAGTACAGGACTCTTTCCCCTTTCAAGACTGATTCAATTGCTTTGAAATATCATATGCCTCAATGCTAAATAGATACATAGACACACGATAATATTATTTAGCAATTTTGAATTAAACATGAAAACAATTTAAATTAAAAACACTTAAAGATTGTTTTCCTATTATTAAGGATGTGTTAGAAAAGGGCTAAGCCTCTCATTAGGAGATGAATTTTTTTTCATTTGTGTTTTTGTTATGGCTATACAAGATGGTTTTATGTTTTCCCTTTTTTTCTCTGCATGAAATAATGTAAATCGAAACAATCAGGTGACTGATTAATAGGCTAGTGGGAAGAAAAGAACTATTTGTTGCATTGGTTTTTTTTTTTGCATTCTTTTTGAATAACACTGTAGATATAAGCATGAGCCTTTCAATTAGATACCATGATTTATGAAGTCATGCTCAGGGCTAGCCAGGTTGTTGACTCAGATCAGAGCTATGATGCCAGCTCATTCCCTGGTGACAAACACTGACTGTCCTTCCCGCAGCCAGGCACCCCTGGCAGCCTTATGAAAAGACCTTGTGGTTGGCAGAGCACTGAGCAGGAAATGAGGTCCTCTCCGGTTTGGGACAGAGATGACTGGAGTTACAGAAAGCTGTAAAGCAAAATCAGCATCTCCTGAGTCACAGACTTTAAGCTCTAGTGGACCCCGCAGTTCCCAGCGTGACCCGGCCCACCAGCGCTGCATCGCCTGCGCTCCCACCAGCCTCCCACTGACTTCCCAGGGGAGCTCCCTGCAAACTGCAAGTCCATCATGAGATGGGACCAATTTCATGTGGGAGAGGGGGAGAGAGGGCACTACAGCCCCCCCACTAAACACCCCAGCCAGGTCCTTGTTCTCAGCACCCTCCTGAGGGGACATTTTTCTCCCTCACCTCCACTTTTCAAGATGCTTTTCTAACAATATCACAAGGCTGTTATCTCGACTGATAGCTCAGGGATCTTTTGTGTGGCCTACCCTCTTCTAGGAATTTCACATATAAATCACTGGAAAGCAGGAAATCCTTAAGACCTAGGGGGAAGCTGTATGCTGTGTTTGCCTCTTAGCATAAACAGCTGCAGACCATAGAGCATAGCATCTTGCCATGTAGGTACCTTGCCATGTAGACCAAGAGCATATAGCATCACATCATGTAGGTACCAGAGCAAGCCAGACACCTGGACCTGAAATGGGGGAACTTGACTCCCTGTTTCAAAGATCTCTGAGTCAGTAAGTGAGCTCCTGGAAAGGGGTTAGAAACTCTTACTGAATTCGTGGGGTAGGACTCCCTGATGTTCTCCTGTGTAACGTTTCCAGTCCGAATTCCCTCAATGCAATGGAAACAATAATATTTAGACCATTTGGGGATGAGATTATTGCTTTAATAAATTGGTTTTTTATTGGTTCATTGTGGCAAATAAGCCCCCGATTGATTTTGCTCCTAATCAGCATGGAGAATGCATTCCATTGTAATTAAATCCCGTGTAACTGGGCACTCTGTGTTCACTTGTCTCTTAGCTTGCAGTGGCATGAGATACAGCACATCAAACGCTATACTCTACACGATAGGCACCCTGCCAGCCCGGGGAACGATGATGCTGGCCCGCCTTTAGTGTGCTTACAAACGACTATAGCTGAAGCACGTATGGAGCAGCAGGCATCGCTTGGGAGACGCAGAAAGTTATTAGAGGAGGAAGATGGCCAGGGATAAGGTCTTTTCTCTCGAGGAAGGTTTGAACCCTCTCTCTGAAAGGGCTCCCCCTCCCCTTCCCGCAGATCCCGCAGCCCCCGCCGCGGCTCCTCCGCCGCCGCCCGCGGGGCTCCGGCCGGGGTGCCCGGGGCAGCCGGGTCCCCTCCGCCGGCGGGAGCGCGGCCGGGCTGCCAGGCGGGCAGTTTTGAAGAGTCGATCTTCATAATACAAATCCCCCGGCTTCGCCTCCCCGCCAGCGGCGCGAGCCAGCTTTTTAATTGAATCCCGGGGATTTGGCCGCAGCCGAAAGCCCCGGTTCGGGCCCCAGCGCAGTGGGTCCCCCCTCCCGAGAGCAGGACCGTCTCTCGAGGGCTGATCTCTCGCCTCTAAAACCGAGGGAAGGGCGGGCTCCGGGGGCCTGGGTGAGCCCCCCGCCCCGGGCCCCCGGGAGACAGAGCGCGGGCTCGGCGCACCCCGGGGCTGGGGGCGGCGGGGGGGCCGGGGGGCAGCTGGCAGGGCCGCGGCTGCTCCCGCCTCTCGCCCGGGCAGCGCTTTAGGGGGGGCTCAGGCCGGATCCTGCCCATTCTATACGTTAATGCTCTTTTCTCTCCGGCTGCAGGGAAGCAGGCCAGCGGATAATTACCCCTCACTGCAATCCGCAGAGCTGGCCTAATCCGAAAGCTCAAGTGCCCGTAAGTAAAACTTCAGGAAAAGTTATTGAAACTGACAAATACAGGGTGACAAATAATCAATAAAAGCCCAGTCCCACATCCTTTATTGTTTCCAGGCACTAACAGCAAGTAATGAAACCTCGGCGAGGACGGGGGAGGAAGCGGCAGGGACCGGGCGCTGGGTTGGCTCCTGGAAAGCCCCCACTGTAAGAAGCCCAGGGAAGGACCTGGCAGCATAAGGGGAACGATCCCGTCCCCCTGGAAGAGAGGAAAATGTCAACCCCCCCCTCAGCACACCTCTTTCCCTCAAGTCCTCCCTGCCGCCCGGTAGCGGGGCCGGGGCACTCCGGGCTGGGCGAGCCCCGGAGGCGCCTGCCTGGCCGGGAGCTGCTGCCTGGTCCCGCGGGCAGGGACGTCCCGGAGCCCGGTGCCACCTGGAAGCCTCGGGCCACGCACCTCTTTCAGGCACCCGCACAAAAACCCAGGCGCTGTAATCTGAGTTCTGAAATATATAACACCCTTGGACACCCAACGCGCTGCTTCTCATTAGCATCTCGGCCCTGGATTTTCCACGCCGCAGTTTCTAAAGTTTCAGCGAAGGACGCTGGGCAAGATAAATCCGTGCTGTCGTTTCTCTCCCTTTCTGTCTCTCCGAATTAAGTTCTGATCTATCAGTTTAAACACTGGCCAGAAAGTTGATTCACTTTCTGTTAGGATTTCGGGTTAAACCGGGGGCTCCTCCAGTGTCTTTAAGCCTTTGAGCTGTGTAAATGAACTGCAGTGTCACATAATCGATGGGGAAAACTCAGCTGTCACAGATACGAAAGCAGCCTCCTGCCACAGCAATAACGTGATTTGGCATTTCAAAGTTTGGAAACGTGCTGTCTGCGCGTCCGGGGCTCGGGGAGGAAGAACTGAGCGGAGGAACGGGGGCGAAGCGCCGGGGCGGGCGTGGGGGACAGCCCCCAGCCCCGGTGGCCCACAAGCCCAGCAGCCCCAAGCCCTGGCGCCCCGCACCGCGGCACCCGCTGCCGCTCCCTCCCTCCCCGACACACGCTGCGAAAGTTGTTTCCCAACTTCGGCGTTTGGGGAGGGTTGACCCAGAACAAATCTCAGTGTCTCGGTGGCCTTTCCAAAGCGGCCGTGCCCCCCCGCCCCGAGCCTGCGGGACGTGCCCATCTGGAGCACGCACCGTGAGAGCAACTGTGCCGCGTACAGCCACAGCGGCCATCAGTCACTAAAAGCCACACGCTTCAGTGGGCCGAGGATAAAACGAAGTCCTGGTGACGCCTGGTTAAACCACTGACCCTCTTGCGAGGGCTGGAGAAGGGGGGGAGGCGACCCCCTCCAGACAAGCCCAGCTTTGGGGGGCTTCGCGCTGGGCTCCCCGCAGCACCCCTCACCCCGGAGCCGGCAGCACTGTCCCCAGGAGGACTCAGAGCAGCCTTTTCGGGGTGTCTCACAAGGAGACGAGGGACAGGGAGGGTCCCGGGAGGAGCCCCCCGCCCGGCCGTGCCGCTGGGGCGGCAGCGGGGGCGGCTCGCGTGGGCACGGGGTTCCCATCGAAATGTTCATTTTTATATCGGCTTGGGTGGAAAAACCAACCCGCGGGCAGGGTGTGCTCTAAGCCGCGGGGTAACCGCTGCCCTCGGCCCCCTGTCCCTCTGCACACCCCGATTTACTCTCACACACGCGCAGGAAAACAACTTACACAGCATGTTCAGATGCTCTCTGGAAGGGGAGGGCTTTAGCTTCAAATTAGGAAGCTCTCTCAGATGAATGATAAATTCCCCTTTGGTTAGGCTATGGTGTTTGATCATATCTTTGTGTTTTTGTCCTCACCACAAAGGGCCCCGTAGGCTGAATCAAGAAACAGGATTTCAGATGGTTTGATTTTATATAAAGAAACTGTTGCATTTGTAATATTATAAGACTCTAAAGGGAAAAATAAAACCTCTGTAGCTGAGACAAGGAGTGTGCCTAAGTGCCACTACATTTCTATCCCGATTTGGATATAATTTAAGTCTCCTTTGGCTTACAGTGATGTACTCTCCAACCTTGAGGCTATCCAAAAGGGGGGATTTAATGAGGCCGAGTTTATACACTTATATAATTTAGAGGTTCTGCTGTAGCTGTAAAATCACAATTGGTACATGTGTAGTGCAAAAGAGCTGAAATCCCATCCAGGGACCAAGTTGGCTATTTCTGAAGGAGCTGTCATTTCCAGCAGGGGGGCACAATGAGAAGGCCAGGAGCGATGGAGCTCTGATCTCCACCAAGGAGAGATAACCACCTGATTAAAATGGGGCTCTTGTTCCCTCGTTACTCGATCGTCGTGTGAACTTACCTTATTTACAATTATAGGCAATGAGTGAGTTGCCCAGATTGCAATACACCTATAGCTTTGGGTTTACCCCTCCCTCTGTTATCAAGACCATCTCTTGGACAGATTTGCAG